AGCTGGTTAGAGTGTGGCACCAGGTGTCTTCAATATTGAATCTTTTCACAATATTCTAAGTTTCTGAGATTCTAAATTTGGGGTTTTCATTAGTTTTCAGTTATAATAATCAAAATTTAAAGAAATAAACATTTTAAATATATCGGTCTTTGTGTAATAAATAAATATAATATACAAGTTTCACTTTATGAATGGAATTACTGAAATAAATCAACTTTTTCATGATATTCTAATTTTATGACCAGCACCTGTATGTTAGAGGTCCATAATTAGCCTATATAACTAATAAAAATATGAAAATTTATCCCACCTCTAAGGTTCAGAATAGCTTCCAAAAATACTACTTGCCCACCGGGGCTGTTTTTTGTGAAATATTCATATTCATGAACTCTGTTTTACTCCTGGTCCCAGAAGGGGCTAAAAGACCAAGAAAAATGTTTCTGCAGCTAAAACACCCATAAAATACTAGTAGGATGTATCAATGTTGGGTACCTCTAAAGTTCAATATGCTGGCACATGCAACATTGTCTTCTACTTTGCATTGTCAAAGAAATCACTGGCAAAAAGTTAATGGATGTCAGCTCTTACAGAAAAAAATATAATAAGTGGTAAAACCATAATAATGGAGTCATACCCATGAGGAAGTTGCACGTTCACAMACCAATATTAGCCTGCAGCTTATATAAGCATGAGTCAAGCCAGATAAGAAATGGATCCCAGGAAATGGCCTAATTTGTACGTGACTCAAAGTGGAGCAGTACCATTTATCAGGGGTATGTGTCCAATTATCTTCTGATTAATAGGCATTCATTTAAAAGCCTACATGACAGTGCAGCCACAATCCAATTACTCCATAGAGAGAAGCAATGCAGAAATGAAATGAACCAAAGACTCAAATTTAGTTAGTAAAAAAAAATCAATGCTGGATTTACACAGTGGGTATCAATACAGGTTAGAGAAGTAGTTATAAAATACTGTGTACAGTATAGAAATGCATCTCTGTTTAAATTCTTCAACTTTTCCTCCTTTTGTTCAGCAAAGTTTGCAAACAGATGTGCACTCCTCATTCTTAGGTTCTRTGTTTATTAGCTGTCAAAGGTCTTACACCATTTGGTACATGACATAAGTCATGCGGAGGGAGATAGGCTGCACCTGAGCAGGATTGTAGGACTGTCAGCTTTGCTGTGGGACTGAAGGATTTAGACATCAAAGACCAGCTCATTAACAGAGGCTCACTTCCAAAATTAGTTCTGTTACATTCTGCAAAATGAATCACCACCATCTCCTGAGAAATGTGTGTGTGTGTGTGTGTATCTGTGTGCAGACATTTCTTGGATTGTGGTGTACAATCCCTTGGTTGTAAGGGGGTCATCTTTCTTATTTATGATTTTCCTGTGCAGACATTGCTGCATGTGTCTCAGCTGGGTGTAGCATCAGAGGTGCAGAGAAACCTAAGTGGCCGTTTAGAGAAATTGAAAATTGGGGGTTACTTGTTGCTGACTGTTTCTATTTCATCAAATGAGCAGACGTTGAGCACCTTCTTACTTTTAAGAAAGATGGAAATATTTTTAGATTTTAAAATTGATGCCTCATTTTGTATTTTTCAAATGTTTGATCATTGTAGGACTTCAAATCTGTTGTTCCTACAGTTGGGGTCAGAATCCTTGTGTGGGCCTTAAATGGATCCCGATTACTTGTAACTTTAGACTAGGGTTGGGCGATATTGGCAAAAAAAATTAATCACCATTAATTGTGGTTAGCCGATAACGATTAATTTGACGATTAATCCCCTGGAGTCCCTGGACACACTTATGTCCTAGTCACATGAACAATTTAGTGGAAAATATTTGCTCTTATAAAAATCTGTTTCAAATTGTCATAATTACAGACTTCTGACTATACATCAAATTTTAAATTGTGTTGATAGATAAATAACTTAGACTTATTTTTTTTAATGTTTGTAATACTTGAAGCAGAGAGGAGCACTGAGCAGACCGACAGGGGAAATATCCAGTCAATCTGCCTGGTGGCATTAATCGTATTAATCGTCAAGTGCCAAAAAATAATCGATTAATGTTTTTCTGACGATTAATTGCACACGATACGATTATGCCCAACCCTACATTAGACCTTATTTGATAAACATTTGCTTCAACTTTAATACAAAGACTGTGAAAATCCTGTAGAAAATCTCCATCTCCTGTAGATTATCCATAGATGAGTTGCAGAGGCAACAGGTCCAGGGGTCGGATTCATAAAACTGGCGTACGCACAATTTGAGCCCAGAAACTTGCGTATGCCACTTTTTACGCTAGGGTTGTGA